CACACACACACACACACACACACACACACACACACACACACACACACACACACACTCCCAAACGATTAATTCCAGTCCTTGCTGATATTGAGGTTCCACTCCCAGGATAAGTAGACGTTCTTGTCATCATCAGTGAAGCAGGACTTGATCTGATACTGGCCACGGGACATCACGCCTTTAGTTGCCTCATCGATCGGGCAAAGAAACTCCTGCTCCCCTGCGCGTGGGCCGTAACTTCCTACCATGTACACCGCCTTGTTCACTGTGAAGAGACGCAAACAGAGCATGTAGCTCTCTAACAACCTTTTCTCTGATTCTAACAATCTATCTGTGCATTCACTGCAAACATTTCAAAGGTGCCATTTTCACCCTTCTGTACTTTTATTTTTGTACAATATGTATGTGACATACAATATTTTGTTCATAAAAAATAGAAACACAAGTCCATTTCACTGACTGATGTTCAGTGTCTTTGTTGATGTTTAGTTGCATTCAAACACAATATATGGACAATATGCAGAAGCTGCTCAGCCATGAAGCTCCCTGCACAAAGTTTTTGTGCTGATGTTAATGCCCGGGGAGGTTTGGATCTCTGCAGTCGCTGAGTCATCAGCGTGTTGGTTACCCCCATCATTAACTCTACATAGTCTGACACTTTGTGGCTGAGTTGCTATGGTTACTTAATGGTTCCACTTTGCAATAATACCACTTTAGATGATCGTCACATATTTAGGAGGGATAGAATTTAATGAACTGACTTGGTGCACCATGCTTGAATTAAGTGAGCCCTTTAGAATTACCCATTTTTCAGAAATGTTTGTAAAGGCAGACTGCATGGCTAGATGCTTGATTTTACACACCTGTGGCAATAGGATCCACCTCTTAACTTGGATTCAAAGGTTAAGACGTGTGTTCCAGCACTTTTTTTCATGACTGAACTTACTTCTCACTCCTTTTCTGTAGGTCACTTGACGGTACTTCAGGCCAGAAACGATTTCTCTGTTCACCTGCAGACACACATCGTTTCAAACATGTTCATTAATTTGTGATTTCCTCTTTCCAGGCTGCCCCCACCCCCAAAAAAGAAATCAGTTCACACTGACTCAGTGAGCAAAAGGTAAGTGAGAGTGTCTAATTCACATAATGCATAATGCAGCATAAACCGATGTAAAAAAGAAATCTCCACACAACCGTAAGGATATCTTTGCTACATTAATGGAAACACATTTTTATGTACAAAAGGAAAATGAAGTAATTAAAGAAAAAATACCAGACACGTAAACAAAATGTACATATCTGAGATTTGTAATCTTATGTGGATTAATTTAGTCCAGATCTTCTAACATGGGACACAAACAGAGATACTACAATTGCTCATCACTCACTATGCAAAATGCCTTAAAACACAATTACCTTTTATTCAGATGAGACCACAGCTGGAAAAAACAGCTTCGTGTAATATGTAGCAGCATCCTTCCTCAGTCAATACATCCATCATTACAGTGCTTCTGCTACTGGATATTTACTGCTATCCAGCATCCTTTTGGCAAATTAAATAAATTTTTTCATAAGTAGCCCATAAGTAGTTTTTTTTAAGCAGATTTGTGTTGATTAGCTTGTATTTTATCCATTTCACAAAATGGGTTATAAGTTTCACTTTATTCATTACATTTTAATGAGGTGAGAAAAAAATACTAGTCTCAAGGAAAAAAGAGAGACATTCTGGGATTGTCATTATTTCTACACATACCCTTACACACACATAAGGTCTGTGGGACCTTAAACATTCAATCAATGAAGTAAACCATCGTTAAATGTAACAGCAAACTGCAGTGATAATCTTTGCCCAGCAGGTGTCCTCGCAGCACAGCTGAGCTGCTCATTCCCTGAGCTGTTTGGCTATTCTACCCACCTCTACCTTTTCCTTCAGGGCAAGGTCTCTTGGGTCCTTCCTCAAGCCCAGTACTTCCACACATTCACACTTAGACACACACTGACCTATTTTCTAGGCTTACCTACTCTTTGCTTTTCAATAAAGATCCAGGTGATAGGGTGACTCGCTCCTGGTGATTCATTCAAATTACTTCTGTATCATAACAGCAATGTTTAGCTTTCATCTCCAGGTCAATAGTATTCCCCGCACTCTCAGACAATGAGACCTACGCAGGGTTATAGATGAGCTGGCTCCTGGTTGTCTTACAATCAGCTCCACCGAATTTCAAAAATGCGATAAACTACTATCCCTACTGACTCAAGGGAAGTTCAGCTAAACTACAATTGAGTTCTGACCTTTTCTTATTTCTGTGGCAAATAATTAATGAAGTTACCCTCTGGGGAATTCACTTGGTTTCAAAAACATTTTCATCACCTCAGGTGTTTATTGTGAATGTGACAGCTAAACGTTGAGGGGTTTATTTGTAACAGAGAAAAGAAGGAAGAGAGGTGTGAGGAAGTGTGGATGGCAGAGCATGAAGTGAAAAAGAAGAGAACAGGGAAGTGAGGCAAGAGAAAGGCAGGAAAGGATGATGCTGCTGGGAAGAGGAGAGGAGAGTGTGGAGGCTGGGCGGGGTAGCATTTGAATGATTAAAGGAACATTATTACAAGAGACAGAGGAAAGGAATTGAATTAAATCACTGCTATCATCAGGCTTATTAATATAACAAATAAACTAGGAGGAATTTGGGTTGTTACTGGTGTCATGATGAGCAAACATAACTAACTAGATATTTACTTTTTTCTTTACATTTACATATAGAAAAAAAGCTCTGCATGCACTTGGCAATACGGAAACACATTCAAATAAAAATTTAACGTTCATTTGCAGCATTTATAGCAACGTTATCCTTTCAGGGAAATTTACAACATCAACACAATCATTAAAGTCACTTTCACACATACACCACAACTCCGAACTTAGCCTGCCGGCTATCTAGCACAAAACCTGTGTGAAGGCGCCAGTGGGAGAATATTTTGGTTATGTGTGCTGCCTCCACTAAACCACACAGAGGACTTCCAGTAGTACAAAAGCTACTGAAGTGGACAATTTCCCACAGTGTGAGAAGTGACAGCTGTGGAAAATTACCCTACCTGTTTCTGTCTCCTTATAATTTTACAGTACGAGATGTAGTCAGTTGTGCACGATATCCTTTGAACACAGTGTTCTCACTGTATCCTGTACTGTGGCTGACAGATACCTTGTCCCTTTGCAAAGACAAATTATAAATCAAAAAGACTTACAATATGTATTGATAGTCTTTGTGCATTAGAGTAAAACTGAGGAGAGGTCACTATGAGACTGATGCATGTCTTCAAATGTGGTTTATATGATGGAAACATATGAAAATGGAGCTGTTAGTGTCATATATGTCTGGGTAAACCATAATGGGCTTCCACAAAGAGGAACATTCAGCTAATGCAGTTAGAAGAGAAAATAGTTCAAGAGAGATAAAAGCCCAGAAAAAAAACATGAAACTGGAAGAGTTTGTTGAAGTGGAAAATCCCCCAAAAGCATTAAATGTGTAGCACAGTGCAGTGACAGAAAGGAAGCTAATGAAAGGGCTCCGGAGAAAAAGAAACTGACAAATCTTCCCTGAGAAATTATTGTGTGTATCCTTCCTTTGAGCCTCAGTGTGTCAGAGTGGATCACAACCTTTAGTGTGCTCCTCCAATGGCTCCACCTAAGTGACCTCTAATCCACCGCCAGCAAAGAATCAAGATGGACAGACTCTTCCAGTGAGCTGGCTGTATAAAAACGTCTTGGTGCAAACTGCCATATTCTGCAGTTCTGCCCTTGGCCTCTCAGTGTTCACGTAACAAAGACAGCTGATAACGTGAAAACTCCCACCGAGTCTTATTTCCACAGCATTAAAAGGGTTTCATCTCCAGCATGAAGCTTTACAAGCACTATAAAATTAAGCAGCACTGAAAAAGCCCATTAAAAAAAGATAATGGTCTGCTTTGATTTTGGTGGTTTGATTTTATAGCACGTGGTGGCTTACTCAGCACTGTGTCTCCCTTTCCACCTCTTAATCACTTCCAGTAGATACCTTCCCATCTGTTTGTTTCCACCCCTCTCTCTCTCTCACACACACACACACACACACACACACAGTAACCCACACTAAGGCTCGCCATCCTTAATATATCCTGTGTGACTGTATCTTTCCAACTTACCTTGAAGTGTATCTTTAGTCTGTATTTCACTCCCTCCTGTAAGGAGAAGCTCTTCTCCTTCAGAGCGATCAGGTCTCCTGCACAATCAACAACAAAGAAACAATAAAACATCCCTAATGGACCACATGACATGTATGACATCACTCACTCCACATGTAAAATGACTAGAAGGGTCACCCTCTTATTGCTTCTTACATATCCAGAAATGTAGCTTACTGACTTACACAGCAACTGGAGAATTGCACCATAATATGACCACCATGATATAATTGTTTAAAGAGGGATGCCAGTGAATTCCCAGAATTGTCTTCTCATGTTTTCTGCTAAATCGGAATGAGTAAATTTAAAAAGAAAATGTGCTTAAAGTTATAGTGCATAACATTTTCCCCTTGAGATGTTAGTAGATTGCAGATTGTCCCTCCCAATTGAAGCACATAATCCTAGCTATGGTAGCTGATGTAGGACAAACATGTTTTTGGCAGCCAAAACCAAAAAGATGTGCCCCATCACGGACACAGCTGGTTAGAGTGCTTCGCTACTTTTTTACATGCTATATTTCAACATATTTTAATAAATCATGGAATAAAAAACACATATATAATCCATTAATGATTTTGCAATATTTAACACTATAACCCCAGAGTCACCATAAAATCTCTGAGTGTATTTAGCAAAGCTAAGTTTTGCCACTATCTGTGAAAGGCTGTCAGTCCACCGTTTACCTCAGCTATCAGTGCTAGAAGCGTCTATGTCTGTTTATTTCGGAGGATGCTGTAAAAGTTTGTGAAAGAAGTCAAAGAGTCAGCGCAGCTCACTTCTGACAAATGACAATAATATTGAGGTGAGTTGTTGAGAACTTTTCTGTCAGCAGGTGCTGCTGTTTTTGCCATAGTTAGCCAAACCAAGCTAACTTTTAGTTATAAAGCACTTTAGAATAGTACTTAACATTGTACATTATACAATACAAAAACAACTCTCAGTCAAACACTGTGGCCAATCAAAACAAGTGGATTTTAAGAAGTGACTTAAAACAATTAGCCTCTGTTAGCATATGTTAGCCTCTGTTAGCATCTGTTACCTGCTGCTAGCTGGTATTAATGAAACTTTCTTGGAAGTCGATATAACTTTGTTGGACTCTGATGCTTAGTGAATAAACTATTATAGGATGTGAGAATATAATCAAGGAGAAAGTGCGATTTTAAGGACGCTCTATCCAAATATTATCAGGCATATTGTTAGCTTACTGTATAACTGGCTGGTATTGTATAACCTGTCAGTTGTAGGTTGACTGGAGGGAACATGGCACTTTCCATAAAATAACCTATGAAAACGCATCAATTTCTTGGAAGATGACTAATTTATGTACTGTGTTTTTTAAATTATGAAATAACCTGAAAAAAATTGCTGACTGTACCTTTAAAGGAACTCTGACATACTGGTTATTTATTGTTACTGGGTAAAACCAGTATGGTTTCTTTGTATAGTAAAAGTGTCTCAGTTGTGTGGTGTGGTTGAATGAGTTCATACTGCAGTGGTGGCAAAGCATCCTGGCCCATTGAAAAAGCACAGAGCAATCAGAAATGCATCCACTGCCTAATCACTTTATATGTCAATTTAAACCAAACCATCAGTCCTGAGTGCTTCCTAATGGACAAAGAGAAACAAAAGAGGAAGCAAAGGAGGAGGAGATGAAGGAGAGATAGAAGAATGGGGCAAATAAAAAAAACAGATAGCAGTGATATGATGCGAGGAAGAAGTGAGGCAGTCAGAGAATCAAAGCAAGACATCTTAAAAATCCACGTAGATGTAGTACATTTAAAATCGCAATAAATAAATAAATATAAACGCCTAACTGTTCCTACAGTATGTGGTTATGTCTTAATTTTGACAATCTGCACATCCCCTTGTGGTTTGAGAGCTTCTTGTTGCTGCGAGATAAAGTCATCAGATAAAAACCAAACATGCCATTTACCTCGGTAGCTTCTCCATCTCTATTTCTGTCTCATTTCTTTGGACTCATCTCCCTCTCTGAACTGCAGCCTGTAACCCTCCCTCTCATATAACCTCCTTTCTACCTTCCTGTGCACCTCCTTCCTCTCCCTACTCTCGTCTCAGGAGACAGAGAGAAGAGAAAAGAAGCTGGCCACCCTTGGGAGCGTCTGACTGAGAAAATAGGTCAATGTGGAAAGCTGTCTACCTGTTCTCCCCCCCTTCTCTCTTGCAAAAAAAACACAAGCAGGTATGAACACCAGCAAGTATGCATGCAAGGATACACACACACACACAAGCCTAAACCTTACACTTTGCACATATTGCACCAATGGCGATCACTGCTTGTTATTTTTTATGCCACAAAATCACAAATTTGTCATTTTCTTTGTCTAGTCAGTTTTAAGTAGTCATTCTGGTTGCTGACCTAATTCAAAGGTCAATTATAGAATTATATTCTGTAGCAGGGTTAATCATATCTATATCTTTTATTTAATAATAATAATACATGGATATTACAGCAGTGCTACATGAGCATCATACTATAGAGAAGCCTTCTACTTTTTTTATTCCACTCCATTAATCTAGTAGCTACACGTGCTTGTGTCACACTCTTCAGACTAGTTATTCATTTAAAATTCATGCACACTTCATATTAAATATGATGCATTAGCGCACATTAAACTCACCAGCCGTATACAAAGCAGTCATTAGTAGTTAACAGCTGGGCGGATGTGTAGCGGCACAGCAGCGAGAAAAATGTCAAAACAGCTGCATAAGTTATGATTTTGACCCGATGCTGGTGCTGCATAAGAGTCAAAGGATCACACTGGGCTGACTTGAGAAACATCCACCCAGTGGTTGTTGATACATGTCAGTCAGGGCTATAATTGACTGATTACACCACTATCTGTTAACACTGCCTACACAATTATGCCTCTGTGTGTAGTCCAGGGTTCGTTTATCATTAGCAGCAAAGGTTATTCTGAATGGGTCAGTTCATCAAACACTTCCCACCTCATCATTCATTTTAGATGTTTTTTTCCAGTTATTTTAAAACTGCATTATCTAGAAAACCACTTTTTATGGTGAATTCCTGCTTCTCTGTGGAGGAGTGTAACCCAGGTTAATACAAAGTGATGGATTACGAAAATTAACATTTTATTTATGGCGGCCAAAGATTATAATAATATATATAATTTTTTTTTTTTTTTTAGTGTGTTTGTTTTAAAATAAATGGCCTAAATTTCATTCAGTGCCTGCTATTTACTGGGTGAAATTGGATTTGACATCAAGCAGCGCTATAAAAAATGTCTAAAAATGTTTTACCTTCATCCCTTATGTTAGGGTCCCTGGGTCGTAGACCCAGTGTTTTGTGTTTTTGGTTCTTTGATTTTGTTATTTCATTATATTCTAGCTTTGCTTTATGGGTTTTAGGATTATTCTTAGTTTAGGTTCTCTGGGTGGGGTTTGGTTGAGTTTTAGTGTTCTGGTTTTCTGTCTGGGTTCCATGTTGCTGTCTCCCCTTTCTGCTGTATCCCCACATCCAGTTAGTGTCTCTGTTCCCTTTGTTTTAGTGCCTGCCTGTGAGTCTGTTATGTTTCCTGTTTTACTTTGAAAGTCCATGTGTGATGTTAATGTGTCTGGTTTTGCTTCCTCTTGTCTCGTTAGGCCTGATTTGCCCCAGCTGTGTTTCCCTCCTGTTACCCATTCCCTGATTGCTCCCTCT